GAAAATGTGGTTCATTTATATGATGGAGTTTTACTCAGCAGTAAAGAATGAAGAAATCATGGAATTTGCAGGTAAATGGATGGAAACAGAAACTGTTGTACTAAGTGAAGTAACACAGACTCAGAAAAATCCCCAACATATATTCTCCCTCATATGTGGATCCTAGAAGCAGACCCTGATAAATGAGTATGTAACCAGACATAACTACAGGAACCAGGATAATGGAAAGTAAACAGGGAGGTAAAGGAAAAGAAAGAACCTGAACGAGAACAACAGTGGGAATCAGGCCTTAATAAGGGAGATATGGACAAAAATTGGGTGGAGGGGGGAGGGAAGGGCATACAAGGAACCTAGGGGATAAAGGGAAAGAAGGAGCTCAAGAGAGGTAGGACCATAGGAGAAGGGAATTAATAAGGGAGAAAGGGGGGAAATGGGGGCACCTTAAGTGGGAAAACCATGATGGAGGGGTGAGACAATGTGAAAGATAAACAATGCCTAGCTAGTTTTGAAAACCAGAGGGAACCACCTTATTCCTACAACCTACTGACAAATTATACGTAACAGATCAAGAAATGTATGTCTAGATAAGGTTTATCTGAGAACAATTGGTCTTTGCCCAAGATTTATCTACATGACACACAGTAATTAAAAGTACCAGACTGGTGGAACTAACCTTCTTGGATGTTTAAAAGACATACTTTGAGGCCTATACTAATTTGGTCAGAAGGACACATAGGACAGTTTTTGCTCCTTTCCCTCCTATGTCGACTAGTTCCAGGGGACTATTAGCATCTCTCTCAAAATGTCCCATAATGGTGGTGGGTCACCTGTCCTTTTGATCAAGGAGGCCGAGGAGACCCCACCAGATGGACTTGAACCAGTGTCCAGTCTTCAAAGAGGAGAGTCAACACAGAGGAATTGTTTCCTCCATGATTCCAAATGAAGCCAATCATGGTTGAGCAGGACCTTTGGCTTATCTTCACACAGGCGAAACTGGTAAAAGAAAGGAGCCAGGGGTTCCTCCCAAGCCCATGTGACCCCTGAGGAACAGATCCTCAAACGACCTTAAGAGTAAAAATAAATTGGTTTATCTGGGCCAACTGTATGGCGTTAAACACCCAAAAGGAAAGTATAACCAAAGATTAAAGGGGGACCAATGTAATTTCTTAAGATTCCATATGCATACCCAAAGGCTACGTAAGAAGCAACAATGCCAGACAAGCGATACCTTCTTTTGAGTTGTTGGCCAGGGTGGCCAAAGGGACTCCCAGATAGTAACCCAGCATAGAATTGGGAAAATGAACAGCAGACTCAATCTTATCTAAAGGAATATTGACAACTGATTGCTGCTAGATGAGGAACAGCTGACCCTCCTTAAACAAAGACCTCTAGATAGGCTGACTAGATTCACCAGAAGGGCAAGTAGTGGGGAATGGCTGGGGGTGCCAACAACACAGCAGACAGTAGCAAGGATATCAGAGTATAAGGGTTCTAGTGGGGGGAGGGAGGCTATGGGAGGGTGCCATCTGGGAAGTGGGTATATAGTTGAATGAGATGGTTTGGGATGTTCTGTGTGATAACACACACACACAAAATCAACGAATTTTTAAAACACGTATTATATTTGAGGAGGAAGCATGGAAATTTACATCATGCTAATTAGTAGAGGTGATAATAGCATTGAAATCCGCCTGATGACATTATAGACATACACAGGCACCAAGGATCCAAGTGCAACAGATTATGACTAGTAATAATCAGATGCATACAGATTAGAGATGCATGCACCAACATCTCAGTGTTAGTAGCAAAAACAATGAGTCTTTCTGCAAGGAACAATATTATACTGAGTTCAATATTGTATAACTGTATTAACTCAACTGTGAACCTAGAAACTTGCACCCACTCGTGAAAGAGAGATACTCTTGCTCTGGTGCGTGTTACTGAATATGTTAAAGAAGCTGTACTGAAAAGCTTCTAATCATGTAGTTATTAAAAATTAAAAAAAAAATGATAAAAAAATAATTTTTCAAAGCATAAAAAGTTGCTCCTTATGAATTAGTAGATGTAAAAAACATTACCATTGAAATCTACCTGATGATTTTATATCCATGCTCAGATGCCAATGAGCTCAGAAAGTAACCGACTCTGACTAGTAATACTCTGATATATAGAGATTTTAGAAATGCATGTGCAAACATCTTAATGTCAATTGCATTAAAAATGAAGTTTTCTGTATGAAACTCTGCATTTTAATAATGAAATGGAGATCTTTTTTAAACGTTGGAACCTCATTTAATTTTATGTCTTATAGGGTTTATACTGAGTACAATATTGTATAACTTTAATAATTCAACTGTAAACCTAAAAATGTACAGCCAATTTTGTAAGAGATGCATCCTAGCTCAGAAAACTGTTATTGAATGTCAATGCTGATGTAATGAAATGGCTTCTTCTAAGTATGTAGGTATTAAATAAATAATTAAAAAAATAGGTATGTAATTTTAATTGGATGACATAATTTTAAAAATTAAAGTTAGTTAATTTATCTTCATAATACTAGAAAAACACCTTTAACACAGGGCAATCAATACATTGTAATACTTTCAAAAGTTGATGTACATTAATATTCCTTATATTGTATGAAAGAGAAGAATAGAGGGAAAAGGCCTTTCTGGGGTTAAATAAGAAAATATGATAAAGAGGGAAAGTATGCCATAAATATTGAAGACATGAGTACACAGGAAAATTTTGCTTAAAGGTCAATCAATAAACAGTAAAAAGGGAAAAAAAGGGGGGGGGTACATAGTATGATAATGTCCTAATCTATAAAAATGTGATTAAAACTAGTGTGTAGGTTTTAACTAAAGAATATATATAAAGAGCATAAATGGGCTGGGAGAGATGGTTCAGTGGGTAAAACTCCAACTGTACATATATGAGAACCTCAGTTTGCATCCCCAGAATCTATAGAAAGCCAAATGTGGTAGCAAGTACATATAACCTCAGTGTTCCTAAGGACAGATAGGAGGCAGAGACAGGAATCCTGGGTTGAGGACCAAGACCAACACCCAAGGTTGTTTTCTGACCCCTATACCCACACCATGGTATATACATGCCCACATTCATATAGCTCCCCTCCCCCCATCCCCCCCTCTCTCCAAAAGAAAAAATAAGGGCACAGTGTATGGGCAGTATGTGACCATTAAAATGCTTGCTTCTTTGTCAACTGGCAATCTTTAATATAATACAAAGGACAAAAGACGATGACATATTATAGAAAACTTTCCTCTGTGAGGAACAGTAAGACTAAAAGTATGATCAACTAAAACACACCACATCCTATCCTAACTTTGTAGGATGTTTGCATTTATTTTGTGTGATTAAAAAGAAATAGAAAAGGCAAAATGCTACAATAAAAAAACAAACACCCCCCCCCAAACCAACATTTTGGTGATTTCTAAAGTAAGAAACCTCATATGCCTACCAAAGTAACAAAGTATCTGAAATTAAACCTTTTACCTTGGTCTTTCCTGATCCTCGTGGTCCAATAATGAGTATAGAGTTACTTTCTCCATGGATAGCAGTTCTTTTTAGCAGCTCAATTAAGTGTCTAAAATGACATAAATAAGTCAAAATCTTAAAAATTAAGCTAGAATAATTTACTATGCCATATTTTTCCCAAAGTCAAATTTGAATATGCACATAAATTCCTCTTTCTTTAGGGCTCTTTATGCTCTAAACTGTCCTATACAGAAGGATACATAGAAAGGCAATAGAGCAGTTTGGATTCTCTAGAAACCTGAAGAGTAAACCTAGTATGTTCAACTTTATTGACTCTTTCTGATGGTAGAGGATAAGGGAAAACAAAGGCAACTCTTGTCTCTTGAGTTTAGAGATAACTATATTTTACTAACATTGTGGTCTTCCATCACCTGTGCTGGCTGCCCGCTATTAAGGACAAAGTCAGACTCTTTCAATATTAACAAAAGATTTATTATTAAAGGGCTTTTACATTACATGAACATTTTTATCTGATCGTTTCTTGATATTCAGTTATTTCATATGCAAAATGAAACTTTTACATCCTTATTTTAGATCCAATCTGTATATGACTAGCTTTTATAAAAAGGAGAGCAATGGTAAATAAGTTCATAAAAAAGGAGCAGACTGCTAGACTTACTTGTACTGTACCTGCACTCCAAAGAGATTGGTATGTAGATTTTGATGACAAAATCTTTCACGTAAAATTCTTTGTACCTGATGAAAATTAAATGAGCAAATAAAAATATTGTACATACAATAAAAAATGAGTATGAAAGTATAGTATTTGTAGCAATCAGATTTAGGTATTAATGAATCAGTTTAAGCTTCACAACCTACATGTCCTTAAGTGTTCTGAAGTCATTTTTCTGAGTTATAATTAACTTCTACTCTTCATTTTATGTCTCAGATAAATGATGAGAATTTACTTGTGAACGCTTCAACAAATAGAATTACTTCAACTATATCACCAACTTGAAGGCTGTTTTATAATGAGTAAGCATTTCATTTTGTGTAAGATGTTAGCCAATGAACAAAGATGGGAAGAAATCTAACAATGCAATCTAATTTAAAAATTTTCATGCAATCACAGACTCAGTGATCTCTTTAGAAACTAAGGCTTCTAAACTGGCTTAGCTAAGTCACTGTCAATCTCTACCTGTATAAAAGTCAGGATTCTGCAGAAAATTTAAGCTGAAAAGCCCATATAGTTTTTAGTTTTAAGTACCTATTAGATTGAGCACAGAAATTCTAGAAGGGTATGATCCTAAAAAGACACTGCAAATATATTTGGAAAAAAATGACAAATTCCAACAACTGCAAAGTAGAAGTAGTTCAACAAACAAACCAATATTTAATTATGTAAAAGAAATGACATTTAGCTAGTCTATAAAGTAAGGAATTGGGGCTGGGGATGTAACTCAGTGATAGACCTACTGCTAAGTATGTGTTCAAAGCCCCGAGTTCTATAACCATCACTGGGAAAAAAGAATTCAAATAGGAAAGTGGAAAAGTTGGAATAAATGAAGACAAAAATTTTTGTAAGTAGCTATGTTTCTGAGTTTGTTTTAGAATTAGAACCTTAGGCTTAGTTGTGAAAAACTACGTCAAATAATCAAGAAGTCTTTTAAAAAGAGTGCCAATATAAATTCCTTTTCTGGATCTGGTGCTAGTAGTCTTTCAGGGACAACACACTTAGGTCACTGTCTCATATTTTCACCCAATGGCTGAAGTAAGAAGACCGTAAGATTATTTGCTTCTCTAACTGACAGCATGAACAGATCCTTAATAAACCAAAGAGATACGAGTTGTCTTTAAATGTTCAAAAAGATAAAGAAAACTATTCACATAGTTATTTTAGATAAAGAAGAAAGTATGGAACTGGTGCCAAAAAAGTCATTTTTAAGTGAACTTAAAAAGGCCAAGTCTTTTCTAGATCTTAACTTCTAAATAATGGAGCACCAACACTTTCGTGAAAAGCCTATTTGAAGATTAAGGCATTTATCTGTAATACAAGATAAGACTTACACAGGTAATAGCTGATGCCTGTTAACCACTCAAATGGGCATAGCTATGGACTCAATGAATGATATTGTAGATCACTAGAAATAATACACAACCCCAATCTTTAAAAAAAAAAATGTGGCAACAACTATGTATAAAATACGAAATTGGGGATAAAGGAAATGAATCTGTAATAAAACACCTGGAGGATTCAACAATTCCAGTTATTAGGATATAGGCTAAGCAGGTGTATAACCATTAAGTCACCTACACCTGGGAAGAACTATACACTTCACATATGAAACAAAAATCTATACCTTAGCTAATTTTTTTTTAACAGACATTTTTTTTCATAAAGAAAGAAAGTCAGGTCTAGGGAGATGGCTCAATAGGTAAAATATTTGCTGTACAAGCATGAGGACTTGAGTTTGGTCCAACATCCAAATAAAAGCCAGGCAAATCAGCAAATGACTATAGACTCTCCCCTGGGAAGCAGAAACAGGAATCTGGGACTCTCTTGACCAACCAATCTAGCCAAATGGCAAACTGCAAGTTCTATGAGAGACCCTATCTAAAAACATAATGTGGATAGGAATAGGTGAAGATGCTTCGCATCCACCTCTGGTCTGCACATGTTCACATATGGGTGCACATACTTATATACACATAGGCATACACCATACACACACAAAAAAAGAAAAAAAGTATTTTTAGGATACCAATAAAATTTAGCACTGATTTAAATAGTATGGTTGAGGTCAAGCAAGATAAAAGAAAATGCTAGGGTAGTATTATGTCAAGTCTCTATTAGATTATGGGAGAAACATCTATTTAAGTAATTTATTATTTGAAATAGAACAAACTCTTAGGACAACATTAAGTATTTAGCATAAAAATTCTCAATGAACTAAGAATATAAGGGATGTCCTCAAATTGACAATGGGCCTCAACAAAAATATCATGATTACTGAATGTTCTCCTATTGTCACCAGAAACCTGTCTCAGTAGTATAGTGCTTATCCAATGTGCTCAAAGCTCTGGTTAGAGCCCCATTACTGGCCTTCCATTTAAAAAGAAAGGGGAGTGGGGTTCTTATCAGTCCTTGTCAATATTTTACTGACATTTTTCACTAAGGCCATTACTCAGGAAAAACTGAAGGCATTCAAACTGAAAGGGAAGAAGTAAAACTTCCCTGTTTGCACATATGATATTCAAAACAGAACACTCTAAGTAAAAACAACAACAACAACAACAAAAAACTATAAAGTGAGTTTTCAATATGGTTGAAAGTTTAAAGGGCAATATATCAATTACATTTGCATAAACTAGCAATGACCTAAGCAAAGATGAAATTAAGAAAATAACTTCACAGATAAGCATCAAGAAAGGAATAAAATACCCATGAATGAATTTAGCAAAAGTGCAACATTTCTATGTGAATATTTAACTAAATTTAATTCACACTATTTTTTACAAATATTTAAGTAAAAGTTAGGATTCAACTAGCCAAACACAAAGGTGGATATTAAATAATACCATTAGCAGTTAAGGTAAAACAAACATCACTGACAGGGTTCAAGAACAAAGAACATGAAGAACAAAGACAACAATAAAAGTACAATGTGTCATTTCATATTTAACTGTATACTTTGAAGAGCTTTGCTTCCAATGACTGTAGGAACCTTTTGTAAAAATATCTCCCTAAGAATGTAAAGAGTCCTAAAAAGTGCTAAGAAAAAAATTTTTAAAAAGATGTCTATTTCACTTTGCAAAGTACAAGCCCTTGATAGTAAGAAAAATATATACTCACTTGTGAAAGGCACTCCGCATGTACTAAGTTATTACTCTTTGTTTTACGATTGCTCATTTCAACAAATTCAAATCCTTAAGAGAAAAATTTAGAATGAATAAACACTATCTGCTTTAAAAGATTATTTTAAAATTTACATTTATAAATAAGTTTTTACATATCAAAAATGTTGAAAAATCCAAACAAAAAAATCCCAAATAATTTCTATTTGCCCAAGTTCAGGATTATTTGGCACTTTCACACCACATTTAACAACATTCTTCCCCTTAATTTTTTTTTGTACAATTCATTTACCTTGACTTTTTTATTATACAGAATGTTTTCCTAGCCATCCATCCAATAGAATAATTCTTTGCAGAAAATCTTTCATTTCTTGCTCCACTCAACAATACTACATAATCTGCAGGCCACTGTCAAATGCAGCTTCTGTAAATACACCTGAGTATATTCATTCTCTTTAGCCCCAATCAAATTATACTAAGGATAAATGTGTTCACCAGTACTTTTAGCTTAGACCCAAATACTATAACATATGTTTCAAAGCTGACAATGAAATGATGACCAGAATGAATTGAAAACAAAACAAAAGAAACATTAAAAACAATAAGTACCATCATATATAAGGCTTATAATTCTAACTTGCATCCCTCACGTAGACCAACAATAATTTCAGTCATCATGACCCTTGAGAAGCCAGCCTCGGGATTGTGGCAGGTATTTGTGAAACCTCCGTGAAGTCAAAGGCCAATGAATGAAATTTTCAAATCATTAATTTTTTTTTAAAAGAAGGCAGATAACTGACACGGAGAACAAAGCTGCTGACTGGTCTAGCCTCCAGACTCAGAAGCAGCCCTATTTCTGAAGTTTCAGCTATGTCTTTCTACCAAAAATCATCCATCAAGAAATCCAGGTGGAGCAGGCCTGGTGGCACACACCCTTAGTCCCAGCACTCAGATGGCAGAGGCAGGTCATTTTTGTAAGTCTGAGGCCCAGTCTGGTCTACAAAGTGAGTTCTGGGACAGTCAGGGCTATAGTAAGACTAGTGAGACCCTGTCTCAACCTCCCAGGTCCCCCCACCCCCCAAAAAAGGGGGAGAAAAGAAATCCAGGTACAATTATGTATACTAGTACCACAGAAGACAGGCCTGTTCTCTGTGGTCTTTACTATGGGTCTTTAAACAATCAGTCTTACTATGGGTATGAATTCAATCCCACTCTCCCACTCACAGGGCCATAAAAATGTCTGAGTATAAAATAAAAATGTCTTTACGGCAGACTCCGTGCTAACGCTGAGATAATGATTTGCAGATGGTAGTCATTGTCAGCTGTGTACATAGGTGAACCTGGTCCCAGAGCAGATCCCTAAATACCATGAATTTCAAATCTTAACTGTTTCAGCCATGACCTGACAACAGTCCTACCTGTCAGAAGTACTGCTAAAAAGTACTCCTGGGATACTTGTCTGTCTATGTCATCAGATCAGCCTTGTCATCAGATGCTAAACAGATTCTAAAATATCATTCAATTATGGGTCTCTCTCAGTTATAGTCTGATATCAATAATGCATGAGAACAGCCTTTCTGAGTACCCAGGGCAAGCTAGTCAATTTTAGTTCTAGAGCAAATTCTAAATAGACCTGAATCTTTGCTCCAATCTTTACACAGGTAGTCAGAGAACAGGAATTCCTGCCAATGAGACTAGAAAGAAGTAGACCTGTCAGTATCCCCACAGACAAGCTACCCAGTGTACGTCTACAGCAGGTCCTGAAAGAGTACTGGAAAGTAACTCTAACCTGCCTTAATGAAGGACCATTTGAGATATACAAATGACCATGACCATAAAGGCAAACCCTGACGCATCCCTATGAATCAGTTCTAACCTCATTGAGTCATAAACTCAGTCAGTAATTGCTTGTCCAGAGAGCCTACTAGTAATCTGGCAGGAGACTTTGCAGGGCACTAGAGTGTTAGCTTGAATAAAATGCTCCCACAGGCATGTGTTTTTAATGCTTTCTAGTTGGTGGTAGTATTTTGGTAGGCATGAAACTTTTAGGAGGCAGGGTCTAAGTAGAAGAACATCACAAGGCACAGAGCTTTAAAAGTTAAACTGGCCTCTGATGCCTACTTCACTCTCTTGCTTCCTGGTCCACTGTGATGTGAACAGCCTCTGCCACATGGTCCCAACACCATGAACTAGGATGCTCTGCCATGACTTCTCTACCATACTGGACTGAACTGTATGAAACTATCAGTCAAAATAAATTCTTCTTTAAACTGTTTCTTTCAGGTATTTTGATCACAGAGACACAAGAGTCAAGCTTTCGAGGAAGTACACCTATGTACACAGCTGACAATAACTACCATCTGCATATCATTATCTCAGCATTAGCAGCATTATGCCACCATCTACACAGCGGGTCAGACCAGATTCATACTCACTATAGAGACTTGACTAACACAAATATATATTTGGGCCTATTAACAAATATCTTTTCACAAAATGTCAGTATATAGAAAAACAGTTTTAAGATTGATTTCTTCATAGGTCTTCACTAATAGTAAGATTACTAAGAACTATGATTCTAATTAACATGTGAAATTCTATATACAGAAAATATAAATACGCTTAAACTCTGTTTTTAGTAAGGAAACTAAAAAGCACCCAAAGATTCTATTTTAATTGGAAAAAGAAATATTTTTGTACACATTAAAAAATTTATAATAATTTTCCTCTGACCTCCATATGCACAAGGCATACATACAGTCCCTGCCCTGCCACACAAAATAAATAAGCCTGTTAAAAAATATTTTTCTGTTTAGTAAAATTTGCAAAAACATATATTTAACAGACAAATATTTTGTGTTTTATTAGGATAATTACTTATATTTTCTATGGACTATGTCACATTTTTGACTACTTAGGAAAGATTCAACAAGTATCTACTTATGTTTTAGGCTTTTAAGTGACCACTCTATAAGCAACTATTATTTTAGGTGATTTAGTACCTTTAACACTCTATATGTCTCAGTACAAATGTGTAGCGTAGTTAACATCTGAACTTTAAATATTATGGAAGACACATTTGTATATCAGGAAGTTAGTTTGTGGACATTAGCCCTTGTTTTTAAAGCTTTGATTCATTGCAAGATTATAAGCTAAATAAATAAGATAAAGGAGAGCTCTGTAGCCATTATGGTAACTATTGCTCACTCCTTTGAATGTTAAACATATTCACATCTCTCAAGTATATGAGCATTCTAATATGCAAAGCTTAGGAGAACACTTTATCAAGGGGGTGTCTTTCAAACTGGATAAACTGTGGTGCTACTCTTTTACAAGCTTGTGTTTCTGTGCTCCTAACTCCACTATGACAATCTTTAAACAAAAACACTAGACAGGTCCAAACACTGCAGTCTATGCAGCGCCATTCTAACAATTAAAAGGGTATCAGTCACCCAGAGACTATACCTCTAAACAAGTATACAGTCTAATTCTTTTATTTTTTTTGCATTTATTTTTAAAAGACAAAAAAAATTTAAGATTTATTTTTATGTGTGAGTTCTTCCACAAATGTATTTGCGACAAGTGCAGGCCTCCATGCCAGAGGCCAGAAGAGTGGGTATCCAATCCCATGGAACTGATGTTATAGGCAGTTGTGATCTACCATGTGTGTCCTGGAAATCCCCAACCCTGATATCCTCTCAGGAAAGTCTAAATACTCTGCTAATAGTCTGCAGTTGAACAAGACTTTGACAAACAGCAAACAAATCTGCCTCTTACTATAATAGCCAAGTAGCCAAGGCTTGAATCACCAAAAGGGCCTCTGGCTTAAGGATTGCCAGTTTGATGTCTTGTTCCTCAAGAAAATTCTCTCTCAGGAAAAAGGTGGTCTTCTCATCAGCCTCAGCACACGTGTAAGATGCCTTTTATTATGTCCACAGAAGGCACCTTGCCTTAAACTTCATTAAAAAAATATTTTTTTATTACATTTAAGATTATTCCTTCATTATATATGACAGTTTTGAGAGAAACAAAAGGCAGGTTGGGGAAATATAAGACTATATGATGTGAGCCTCAAAAAGTAATGTGTATTTTAAAAAGTTATAGAAATAGCAAAGAAGTGCTAAGAATAGGGGGTTAACACACTTACACATTATTAATACAACAAATTTAGCATGGACACAAATTCAAAGAGAACTATGGAAGAGAAGTAGAAGTAGAAAACCAGGTTTGCAGTCAGGTCTAGGTTTGAGTCCTAGGTTATCATATGACTGTACATGTAACCTTTGCAAATGAACTTTTCTAGGCTTCAGTTTTTTCCTCTGTAAATATGACATGACATTATCTAATCTAGACTGTAATTGTGGGGATTTTGTGAAACGGATGACAATATGCATCGCTATAAAGTGCCAAGAACAGTGTTACATAGTATACTTTAAAAACGATCACATTAGAGAGAAGAACCAAGATAAAGAACAATTTAGGGACAGAAAACAAAATAAAAAATACACCACAAAAAATATTTTTGTTAATTTTACACAGAACTTCTGTGACAGGGCAATAAAGGATCAAATGCCATTAAAGAAGACTTTAACAGAAGGAAACCCAGAACTACCAGAGCATTTTAAATTGAAGATTATAAAAGTTTTAAACTTGTAAGGAAAAAAAAAAAAGTATGGCTGGTCCAACAATTAAAAAAAAAAAAATGATAGGACTTCCACACTAAAAAGAAACATCAGTAATCTCCCATTCCTGAGACTCCGTAGTGCCCAGCCATCGTCTTAGCTCTCAGGCTTCCTCTGGCATGGGGATCCTTTCCTGTCCCAGATCTCTGTGCCCCTCCAAACTTGGCAGGGTAAGCTCTGCCACATCGAGTCTCCGACCAGCTTGGGTCTCAGGGATCCTTCCCTGCCCCAGACTTTGAGATCCTGATCTCCCATTCCTGAGATTCCTTACAGCCTAACCATCTCAGCTCTGTGGTGCCCTAGACCTGTGAGCTCACCCAGTCTAACCTATCAGCCAGTCTATTCACCTAGCAGCCCTCATCCCACCTTCTGATCTAGGACCCTGTGAAG